CCCTGCGCTGCAGGTCCCCACCACACTGGTCCCACTCCCCTGTGCTGCAGGCCCCCACCACACTGCTCCCACTCCCCTGTGCTGCAGGCCCCCACCACACTGCTCCTGCTCCCTGTGCTGCAGGTCCCCACCACACTGCCCACACTCCCCTGCGCTGCAGGCCCCCACTGCACTGCTCCCACTCCCCTGCGCTGCAGGCCCCCACTACACTGCCCACTCCCCTGCACTGCAGGCCCCCACCGTACTGCTCCTGCTCCCTGCACTGCAGGCCCCCACCACACTGCTCCCACTCCCCTGTGCTGCAGGCCCCCACTGCACTGCCCCACTCCCTTCACTGCAGGCACCCCACTGCACTGCTCCTGCTCCCTGTGCTGCAGGCCCCCACCACACTGCCCACTCCCCTGCACTGCAGGCACCCACCACACTGCTCCCGCTCCCCTGCGCTGCAGGCCCCCACCGCACTGCTCCTGCTCCCTGCACTGCAGGCCCCCACCACACTGCTCCCACTCCCCTGCGCTGCAGGCCCCCACTGCACTGCCCACTCCCCTGCACTGCAGGCCCCCACCACACTGCCCACACTCCCTGTGCTGCAGGCCCCCACCACACTGCTCCTGCTCCCTGTGCTGCAGGCCCCCACCACACTGCTCCCACTCCCTGTGCTGCAGGTCCCCACCACACTGGTCCCACTCCCCTGCGCTGCAGGCCCCCACCGCACTGCCCACACACCCTGTGCTGCAGGCCTCCACTGCACTGCCCACACTCCCCTGCGCTGCAGGCCCCCACTGCACTGCCCACTCCCCTGCGCTGCAGGCCCCCACCACAGTGGGCGGGTGTAGAGCAAGCAGTCACATTCCTGGGCCTCACTCCCAGGAGAAGCTGGGAGAAATCTCTGCTAAGAAGGGGAAGAACCAGAGCGACCAGCCTGCTCCAGTCTGCGCAGGGCAGGGCAGAGCTGTTCAGGGAGCACCCCCATTCCTAAGTGGGAATTCCTGGGCAGTCCTTCCAGGGAGGGGAGAAACGTGTTGGCGACACGTTTGAAGCGGATAGTGATGCAGTGGGCTTTGAGAGCACCGAGGTGGACAGGAGCATAAGTCACAGGGCTTTAAAAGGTTCTGCAAGCCGGAACGGGATAGTAACGATTAAGAGTACGCACGTCTTGATGATATGCGGGCAAATATTAGGAAGAAGAGAATTGATTACAAATGCAAAGAAAAGCTGACATCTCTCTATGCAGAGAAATCATGATCCAAATGGGAATGAAATGAAAATGTCGCATAGTTTGGACAACTGGTGCACCAGAAGAGCCTTGGTGCTTGTTGGCTTCTCCTTTGTGTGGCAGGTGAGTGACCCAGGGACTCCTTCCTTGTCTTTTAGTTCAAGTCCACTGTGAGGCTCAGCAGCAAACAGTCCCTGTGTAGTCACGACAACACAAAATCTGGTTTCTCCATCTGCAGACTCAACAGAGACCAAGTATGAAAACTTCGTGGTGATTATAGAACTTAATAATGGCTAAAGAATGATACATAAGTGTTACGTCTCATTCTTTACATGTCAAAGATGAGGCTAATTGAATTAGGAAGGCTGACGGTGTAAAGCGAGTGAGAAGGAGAAGTAGAGAGTGAGTCCGCTCAACACGAGAGACTGAAGCTGATGAAACAGGCGGATGGCTCAGTGGGGTCTCTACCATCGGTGAGATGACGGTGGAAGAATTCAGCAGGCAACTGTCAAACCCGGATGGGGCGGTGGAAAAGAAAGCAGCGCAAGTGAACCGCTCCCTTGTATACCCAACTGATAATTTCTAAGTGATTAATAAGGAAAAGGTCCATGTTGGGAGGCAACAACCAGGAGATCAAACATAAAGACAACTAAACACTTTGGGAGGTGGGCTGGGGGCTTCTGCTGGGCTGTTTATGGTCTTTATTGTTTGATTTTTAAACGCCATATGTATGTGTTAACTGAAAAACAGAAAGCAAAAAATACTAAGCAACATTAAAAGGTGGTTAAAGGAATATTTAATGCCCAGTGATCGGAAAACTGAAATTATGAAACACACCCAGCACTGCTGAGTTTTTCTATGGTAGCCTCCTTTTTGCTTGCCTGGATTTTCTACAAGTTACTTATTGCTTTTTAAACAGGCATATGGGGTGCAGGTGTCGTGTTAAGCCCTGGTGTCGTGTCTGGTTCTCTGGGCTAAATGCTCTGTGTGACATCGCCATGCTTTCCCAGGAAAACTACCCCTCCCTCATAAAAGAACAGACAAGGAGCCTGAGAGTCGTTCTTCCTGAGTGGAAGCCTCAAGACTTCTCAATAGCAAGCCCTTCCTTGTCATCATTCTGGAAACTTCTAGAAGTTCTGACACTGCATTCTGCCTCACAGCCATGTTAAAGTGATGTATTTTGTTCCGAATTCTTTTACCAAGAGGGGAAAGCTCAAAAGAACAAAGAGGCAGTTAAAACATTTAAAGTCTTATATTATTTTTTCCTGATCTTATTAATTTAATAAGAAAACATACAAATATCCCCTCAATGTTTTATTCCCTTAATGTTCTCATCTTCTATAAACTCATCACACTCATTTGCTACACATTGTCTTAACAAATGAAATGCTTTGAGAAATAGGGTTTTCTTTTCTTTTTTTTTTTTTTAAGATTAATTTATTCATTTGAAAGGCAGAGTTACAGAGAGGCAGAAAAAGAGGTCTTCCATCTGCTGGTTCACTCCCCAAATGGCCGCAATGGCCAGAGCCGGCCAATCTGAAGCCAGGAGCCAGGAGCTTCCTCAGGTCTCCCACGTGGGTGCAGGGGCCCAAGCACTTGGGCCATCTTCTACTGCTTTCCCAGGTCACAGCAGAGAAGTGGAGCAGCCGGGACATGAACCGGCCCAGTGCCCACATGGGATGCCGGCACCGTAGGCATCAGTCTTACCCACTACATCACAGCACTGGCCCAAGACATAAGGTTTTCAAAACCCAACCTGGCATTGGGAGTGGGGGTGCCAGCGCTGTGACGTATTGGGTGAAGCCACCGCCTGCAGTTCCGGCATCCCATATGGACGATGGTTCAAGTCTAGGCTGCTCCACTTCCGATCCGGCTCTGAGCTAGGGCCTGGGAAAGCATGGAAGATGGCACAAGTCCTTGGGTACCTGCACCTGTCTGGGAGACCTGGAGGAAGCTCCTGGCTCCTGGCTTTGGATGGGAACACTTCCGGCTGTTGTGACCATCTGGGGAGTGAACCCGTGGATGGAAGATCTCTCTCTCTCTCTGCCTCTGCCTCTCTGTAACTCTGTCATTTCAAATGAATAAATGAATCTTTAAAAAAAAAAAAAACACCCTGGACCCTCTGGATTACGTCCCCCACCCCCAGCCCACCACAGCCTTTTCCCAAACACCAAGTTATTCCGATCAAAGGACAGCCCCTTAACCGAAGAGGTAGGAAGCCAGGAGGGGGCTTCAAAGAGTTTGCAGAAAATGGAATGAAGAGACACGTTTATTTTGGTAGAACAATTCTGAAATGTGTGCAGAGACAGTTCACGGACATGTATGTTATGAAAACCTTTCTGAAGCACCCTCGTCTGTGTCCTCACGCACACTCTGTTCCCCGCCCCCTCCCCAGCTGCGTACAGGAATCTGCACACTCACACCATATTCTTCCCATACCACAGCACACAGCTGCACACACACACACACACACACTCGCTCTGTGATCCACGCTCACACCTAACACTACCACCTATCACACACTGCTATGGTCTGGATATGGTTTGGGTGGCCTAAGCTCTATTGTAAGTCAATCAGAGGTTGGAAGCTTCGCCTGGCCTTGAGAGGGGAGACCTTGGAATGTGATCAGGAATAGATGAGACCGTCAGGGTGGAGCCCATGAATCCTGGTAGCCAAGGGGAGAGCAAGACCAGAAGACACACACATGCTCTCCAGGCTCTTGCCCTGTGATACCCGGCACTGCCTGGGGATGCCGCCAGCACGAAGGCCCTTACCAGTGGCTGGCCCTGGATTTTGGACCAGAACTCCAAACCAAAATATACCTCTTTTCTTTATTAAGTAGCCTACCTTAGGTATTTCATTATAGTACCCAAATACTTGACTAAGACACACGCACACTGACACCTACAGCCACATACAACATACACATCACTTACCCCCCCACATTCCCTGTCACATTACACTCATACATGTTAAATGCTACATTCAGAGTACATGCCACCCCCCAGACACATTTACTGATCCACATACATCATCACGCATTGCACATACACTACCCCCACATCCATACTGTATACAGACACACGACACACAATACACGAAACCACATCTCTCTCTCTCTCTCACACACACACACACACTGCTCTCTAGGCCTCCAGGGTTTCAGGGAACGTAGTTTGAAACAGCAAATACAGCGGAAGCACTGTATTTAGCTTTAATGAGCTGTTTTCTAGCTTGCTTAAAGGATACGCGCCCCCTTCACCAGCCAGGTTAAAGCATTCAGTGGCTAATTTCTTCACGAGGACTGACACAGGTATGAAATTAATGCTCCTAGCGCTCACTTCTTGCTGGGTCTCCCACTAATCCTAAAGGTTGTCCAGTGGATCTCAGCAACCCCAGCTCATCTCCTGAGATCCATGTCACGGGGGAAACGGACTAAGAGATCAGCAAACTCCCGACCAACGATAGGAATTGAACAACAGAACAACGTTGCTTCACCGGCCAGTGGGGCCCAAAGACAAAGATCTGGCTCCGGGCGATGTCCACACGGTTCCAGGCCAGGGCCAGGCTCAGCTGATCTGGAGCCGAAGCGTTCGTTCCTGAAAGGGCAAAAAAGAAAAGTGACTTTTCACTGGGAAGGCCGGCCCGGCAGCGAGCCTCGGGGAGGTGAGCACGGGCCTCCCCCAGGCTAGCTCAGCGCCGGTCTGGAACTAAGCATGGCTGCCTCTCTTCTTGCCCTAAGAACTACAAATTCTCAAAGAATTTTCCTCTGGGAGGAAGGTGGAGGCCGCCTATTGCTCTGCCAGCTCTGTACAACAGACAGGAAGAACCCAGTGATTTGGGACTTTGTCTGCAAAGGCAGGACCCCTGGGACCGCCCAGCTCTGGGCTGCCCATCCCGATAGCCCCTGGCCTGCAGGGGGACCAGCGCAGCACAGCCAGTCAGCTGGCCCCATGGTGACCCCCGGCCCCAGTTCCTTTCCTCTGTCCTCCTCGTGGCTCCCATGCAGCTGAGAGGCGGGGAGAAATGTGGGTCCTGGAGCAGACCTCATCTCCTGAGCACCAGGCAGCAGCCGTCACTAGAGGTGGGAGACGTTAGACAGAGCCCTGCAGGACTGCCAATGAGAAACCATTCCTTGCTTACAGTCTGGGAACAGAAGCCCTCAGGGGGACACGTACAGATGGAAACGGCTCCAATTGCAGCCCAGCCAGCCCAGGGGCAGCCACAGACCCCTGCCCCCAAGGCACCCAGGCCTGGCTTTGTCATTTCTACCGTGGCCTGGGTGACTCAGGGTGGTCACCCACAGATGCGGACCTCGTAGGAGAGGACTGGGTCCCAGGCCAAGCCCCAGGCCAGGCCGGCCCTGGGAGGAGAGGAGAGACCCCTTCCCCAGCTCACCTTTCAGCAGGGCTGTTAAAATCGCCATCTCCACGTCTTGCTGGCCCTCCGAACCCATTCTAAACACGGTGACCTGGAACACGGTGAGGAAAGGCTGCGTTAGTTACTGCACAGGCGGAAACAGGAGGGAGAACTGGGGTGTTCGTGAGAGACGAGCAGAGGCGGACTTGTGTCTCTTAGTGACTGATCAGCTCCTACACCCTCAAGAGGAGGACGCCCAGTCGGTACCTACACTCTGATATCTCAGTTGCCAGGGGCGCTGATAAAATTGTATCTGACCAAATAGGCTGTATTGGGCATTGCAAACTGCTGCTTGTGGTGCCAGCATCCTGTGTCAGAGCCCTTGTTCAGGTCCCACTGCTCTCCTGATCCAGAGAAAGCAGCAGAAGATGGCCAAGTCCTCGGGCCCCCTGCCACCCACGTGTGAGACCCAGCTGAAGTTCCTTCAGCCTGGCCCAGCCTCAGCCATTGTGACCATTTGGGGAGTAAACCAGCAGGTGGGAGATCTCTGTCTCTGTCTGTCTGTCTGTCTCTCTCTCTGCCTTTCAATTAAATAAAACAAATCTTTTTTTAAAAAAATGATGTATTTGTAGGAAACTGGTAAATTTAGAATTTGCAGATGCTATTTTAAACGTGCAAAGAGTGCTTATCCCGGTATCAACACAATCAAGGAAAAGTCGGAACTCCTTTCTGCGTGAGGGAAGTGAGATGCCAGAACTTTGTAAGCCCATCTGAAGGGAGGGCTCTGTCCCTCTTCCCCGAGGCTGCCCATCTGATGAGAGCTATGCAGCGCTGAGCTGTGTGACTCGCTGTGATGTCGCCGCACATTCGCTCCAGTCTGGAAGCCCCCGAGACCCTCGCCTGCACAGGATTCTTCTGCTTCCGTCTCGGGGACACCACCCCCAATCTGGCATGAATTTGCAACTAGCCTCTTGGAAAAGGCCGATCTAAAATGTGAACAACCCCATCAAACACACATGGGCAGAATTAGAAAAGGAAACATAATTCTCTCCGTGGAGCTCGCTTGGGAATAAGTTCAGGCACTTACGAGTTCCTTCTTCTTCATGCACTCCATGATAATTGCAAACAGCTGATGCGACTGGGTCTTGCTGTAATTAAACGTTTTCTGAATGGTGACTAGAAGCTGGTCCCTGAGCGACTCATTTATGACCCTGTTCAACGGACGCGAGCAAGAGAACAAAACAACCCAGGTTAAGTCCATACGTGAATAAACCAGACATCTTGATGTGCATTTCGTATCTCCGATGTGAAACGTTGCTATTTGGAAAGTGTCCCAGCAGAGGAAATAAAGTGACCGTCATACAACTGTGTTCAGGCTTAATCCCCGGAACCGCAACCTTACAGGGAAAAATGGAATGGGAAGAGCGTTGCTCCCCGGGGAGAGAATTCCATCAGAAAGGACGAAGCTGCCCGGTACTGCCCTGGGGACACGGGGCGCAGGTCCCACAGACCCTCAGGGTTTACACCTGAGTGGATCGCTCCAGGTTCTCCCCTCGGCCTAACCAGGGGACACTTCCGAACCCACCCTGGGCCCGTGCAGGACTCCTACCCTCCTTCTTCACTGTACTTGTGTGCAAAGGACAGAATGTCCGAGGCTCGTCCGCTGCCGTCACAGACCACCACGGGGACTGGAGGGTCTTCGCGCAGGTATTCCAAGACCACGGAGACCACATTAGGGCCGCCTTCCACCACGAGGGCCACGACAGGCACGCCCTGGCCCAGTCCTGCAACGCACAGCACATTCTGCGTTCAGCCCAGCGCGCAGCCTCCTCCCCACAACAGTGTTGGCTTCTGCAGCACAGCGAAGAGCGCGGGTGATGGGTGCGCCGCGTGGTGTTCGCGTTTGCCACGGGCTGGCCGGAAGTCAGGCACAGGACGAGTGCTTTTGCTCGTGTATTCAAAACAGATCTCAAAAAATCCTGAGCTTTCTGACTTGCACAGGGTTAAATTCCAAGTCCTACTCACCTGGCCTACACAGGCTCCTGCTGTCAGAAACAGGCACACCTCCCTCGGGGTCCCGCCAAGGCTCTGGGATTGCCACCGTGATGGCAGAGCCTCAAACAGCAATGCAGAGAAGGGGGACACAGCCTCAAGGGCTCGGCTCAGCTCCTGGCCTCTCTTTACATTTTTTTTTGACAGACCCCCAAATGGCCGCTGCGCCCATCTGAAGCCAGGAGCCAGGTGCTTCCTCCTGGTCTCCCATGCAGATGCAGGGCCCAAGCACCTGGGCCATCCTCCACGGCACTCCCGGGCCACAGCAGGGAGCTGGACTGCAAGAGGGGCAACCGGGACAGAATCCGGCGCCCCAACCAGGACTAGAACCCAGGGTGCCGGCACCGCAGGCGGAGGATTAGCCTAGTGAGCCGCGGCGCCAGCCAAGCTCCTGGCTTCTCTTATAGTAACTGGGTGGCATCTGACCAATCTCCATACCTCTGAGTGCCTTTCAGGACCAACTGTAAGGGGTGAATAACCACGGTGCCTCCCTTTATCTCCCAAAGGAGACATTGATCTAAAATATAAGAGTATTTTGCAAAGTTTATGCGTGAGACAAATAGGCTGGGTTGTTGCTGTTTCCGCCAGCAGTGCCTGGAATAAGGCGGTACAGACCGAGCATCCCTGCCTGGACACGGAGAGCGTGTCAGATTTCCGATTTTCAGACCAGTAAAGTCCATGCCAGTATTCCAAATCCCAAATACCCTGAAATCTGAAATCCTTCTGGTGCCAAGCTTTGGATAAGGGACACTCCACCCGCATGTTATCTTGAAGGTCAATGCCTGGACTACTATCAGCCCCTAAGTTACTGACCTGCAGCAGGTGCAGGCTAATTTTTGGTGGCAGAACCAGCAGGTTGAACCCTGGGAAGCAGAAGGTGGCAGGAGGACTCTGGGGAGGTGGGACTCTGGAGTGGGAGTGAAGAAGAGGCGGGGCCACATCTGCCCTGAACAGGTCAGCACAGTCTACAGACTCAGTGTCCACAGGGGATTTCCCCCAGAACTTCTTGTGGATACCGAAATATGCTGATGCCCAAATCCCGTTTGTAGAATAGTGTCTTGTTTTCATATAACCTGTGCAATTCCCTCTATCCTTCTCATCATCTTTAGCTCATTTACAGGACCTAACTCTTGTAAATGTTGTGTATGGAGCTGTTGCACTGCATTGTTTCAAGAATAATGACAAGAAAAACAAGTCTGCTCGTGTTCAGGGCAGGTGCAATTGTTTCTGAATATTTTCCATCTGCAGTTGAATCTGCAGGTGCAGAACATGAGTGGGGGTCGGTGGGGGTCTTCCAAGCACATTTCACAAGGCGTCTGTTAGTTGTGATGGGAATTCGTTGATCAACATTAACAAATGGCAAGTAGGAGAAGTGTCCTTGGTCTCTGTGTTCTGAAGGGTTTCAGATAAATTCTGCCAGTACAGGTTATGAGAAAATTTGAGAATATCAAGTGGGCAGATTTAGAGTTCCAGGTTTGCTCCCATGATGTGTTCCTGTAGGTAGGGACTCTTCAATATTTTGAACAACTTTGCTGTCTCCTACCCATAATTACAGGTGGGTTCATTTCAGCAAGCCATCATGGAGGGCCTGCTTTGTGCCGAGCCCCGACCAAGAGATACTGGAAAAGGGAGCAGGAGGACCCCGACTTTGCCTGGGAGATCTCCACCCTAGGCCAGGCTTGCTGCTGTCGATCTCCACAGTGCAGTGGCCAAATCAGCCTCTTTTCCAGACGCTGTGGACAGCTCGTTCTCCTAGCTCAGGCTGGACTCCTGGAAGCTCCATGCTGTGCAGGGTGACGACTGAGCACCCCTTTGCTGTCCCTGCCCTGCTCAGAACCCTAGGCAAAGGATGACAAAGGGAAGCCCACCAGTCACATGGCCAGGTGAAAACTTACAAGTCCAGGGAGACATTAAAGCAGTGAGAACAAAGTATGTGTGTGTGTGTGTGTGTGTGTGTATCAGTTATCAACCAGTGTATCCCTCTTGATCTGATTCTCAGATACCCACAATAGTTCTCTGCGGTAGGCCATTCCCATTCTATCCACTCGTGTGTGTCACAGGTGATTAAATTGTGCTCTGTCGTGACGTTTTTCCAGCTCCAGAGTGTCTTTCACAAAAACCTCTCCAGTAATAGTAAAAGCAAAGTGTCAGTTAACTACTGTTTGCCGGTAAGAACAGGTGGAGTATGAACATGTTCCAAGAGCGCATGCTAGTTGCTTTAATCCTAACCAGTTGTTCCCGTTCTATCATCTGGTTGAGGCTTATCCCTTTCTCCCTATTTTGACCTCAGCTTTCTCCCAACAGCAGCCACTCCCCCTCTTGGCTGTGCCCCCGGGACCACAGGGACAAGGCCCTCCCAGGAGCAGGTTGGCCCCGGCAGCGCTCTCCGGAAGTTTCCTCACCGGACCATTCTGGTCTGAATGACCCAGAGCTACAGAGATATCTAACGACTGTATTACAATTGTCAGTTGATAGGAGGAATCATACTAATTCTCTCAGTGAAAAACGTGTTTCCTATTAAAACATTCAAAAGGTAATGGCAGTAGAGGGAACAAGAACCGCCGGACAACATGGAGGGGGCGGGGCACCTCATCACCATGGCAACCACTGCAGGGTTGTTTCTTGCACCCACTTGTTAACTTGGGGAAAACATCACAGCGCAGGTCAGTGAATGAAGCTTAGCAGGTAGCTAAGGTAAACCATTTAAGCAAGTCGTTTTCTGTTGATCTACTCATCATCGACTTTAAAACTGAGCCACTCTTGGGCGATTTCCCTCCCAGCCTAGAGTTCAGGATGGAGGCACCGGTCCCGCGGCAGAGCCCACGGCCTGAGCCGGAACTTACTTGTGTTGATCTTCTGCAGAGAGATGTGCTTCTCCAGCTGCCTTCGCAGCTTCACCTCGGCGCCATATTTGCCCAGGGTGCCGTTGTCGGCCAGGATAAAGTGGGTATGGGAGTTGTTGAGCACAGAGAGCTTACTTAGAGGGTTGGACATGGTCTGATACACTCTCGTTACCTGACAAAATGACAACACAAATCAGAGCTGCACAGCTTAGACGCTGAGACCAGCAGGGGAGCAAGTGGACTCTGTCTGAGGGAGGTGGGAAGTGGAATTGAAAGATAAAGCTTGTTTGGGTGCAAGGGATTTCGAAATTGATGCCTCGTTTTTTCACAGTGCATTTTCCACGAGCATTCTGAAAGCTCCTCATAGATAATGACTTCATTTAGAGCTATTCTCACTTCTCCATCTTTCCTATTAAAGGCCCTTTCCCCCAGTTGCTATGTTAAAATGTACAAAAACATATTTAGAAAATGACAACTCAGGAATCTCACTCTTGGATTTTATCACAGAGCATTGAAACTCGTGGTAATGCAGAATCCTATACACTTGTGTCTATGACAACTTTTTTTGTGATAGAAAAATGGTAGATAACTCAGATGGCCTCAATGCATAACTGGTTAAGCAGCCGGTGGTATAGCTATACCATGGGAAGCCGCTCAGCAGTGGGAAGGAAGGGACATCAATACACATGACAACTTGGACAAATGTGCAGAGGCTCATGTGGCGTGGAAACAGCCAGTCCCTGAAGGTCATACACACTGAGTGATCCTGTTGATATATTATTTTGCCATGATAAAACTGTAGAGATGTGAGGCAGATTGGTGGCTGCTGAGGGTCAGAGGAAATTAGCCATAGTTATGAAAGGGCACGGGAGGGAGCCTTGTGTTGATGGAGGTGTCCTGCCCTTGACTGCATGGATGTCCACATCCCAGCTGTGATATCCTACTGTCACTATGTAAGATGGTATCGTTCCGGGAACAGGTGAAGGGGATATGGGGGCTCTCTTCATTGCTTCTTACTTCTGCACGCGATTCTACAATGATCTCAAAATAAAGACTTTCATTTGAACAGAGTTTCTTTAGAGAAAACACTTACATCCTTTCCAACCAGGTCTTCCTTATTCTCCACCATGCCCCAGGGAGCGATTCCTATGGCACAAACCCGGCCTCTGGATTTGGAGGAGTGGTCTTTCAAGGCATCCCCCACGTGGCTGATGACACCTGCGAGCAGCCAGGAGTCTTATTTTAGGACTCCACTTCCCGTCATGCCCATCACACCACACTCATGTATCCCTTCTGGAAGAGGGATAAGACGCATCCACCTTCATCATGAAAAGAAGTTCCCTAAAAGCCTGAGTTCATAACAGTCCAGACTCCCGCCTTAGCGCCTTAAAAGGGGAAAACAAAAACAGAAATCAGAGCAGAGACTTCCTTTTCAAGCTTTCATGACCTTGAGATGGAAGTCACCGAGGCCGCTCTGGGGGTCCCTGGCTGCATTCGGCTGGAGTTGAGAATCAGACTGCCCGGCACGATCCTTACCCTCTCCTTGCCTCAGTTTCCTCTCCCAACAACAGGGAAAGGATTGTCAAGAGGGTCAGTGAAGATGATGTCACGCAGGGCTCAGAGACTGCCCTGTGACAGGTGACCCAGCGCTGTTTGTTGTCATCACTGGTGTTATTATACTTGCTGTTTGAACAACATGAATCACACTCTAAAACAAATTACTGAAAAAACATCTCACTTCGCTGTAGGGTCAGGAGTTCTGAGTGTGTCCGTTCCCAGTGAGGGCAGGGGTCTGCTCTTACCGGTGCTGACGCCCCCCGTGAAGATCCAGGCCCCCGTGGTCATGGCTGCCTTGATCAGGCCTTTCCCGAAGACCAGCTTCAGCTTGGGCTGCATCTCAAAGTTCTGCAGGCCTCCATGCACGGATATTAAGAGCTTGGGGAGTTCCAGCTGCCAGTCTTTCACCATGAGATGAAGCAGAGCATCCGGTTTGGTGTCGTAGGATACCCGGATGTACTGCAAAGCAATGGGCGATGCTCAGCGCCTGTTCTTGGTTTTGCTTCTTGTGGCAAAGGGAAGAGGGGCTTTCACTAAGGTCCAAGCAGGAACTATCTGCCCTCTCCCTCGGTGTCCTGAGGCCCTCTGGGTAAGACTTAGGCCAACGGACTACAGGGAAATAGAGGAAGATTTAGCAAATAAAAATACAGGACGCCCAGTGCAATGGTCAGAAGGCATTCCCCAAAATTTGCATGTTGAAGCTGAATCACTAATGCATGTGGATTAAGACGTGGACCTCTGAGCAGGCATTAGGCCATGAAGGCCCAAATCAATGGGATTAGTGCCCTAAAAAAAGAGGCCCATGGAAGCCTGCTACATACAAATGCAACAAGAAGGCATCATCTATGAGCAGGAGGCTGCCCTCACCAGACGCCAGCTCTGCCGGGGCCTTGATCCTGGACTTCCAGGTTCTAGAACTGTAAGCAATACAATTTCTGTTCATAAATTACCCACGCTAAGTGTGTAGTTACAGCAGTCAAGTAGACAAAGACACCAGGAAACTGACTTTTAGATGAACAATGACAAGCTAAATTTTAGTACAATATTTTTACTAAATGCAGTAAGTCACATGTTTGAGACATACTTGTACTAAAACAATCTTCCATTATTTGTCTGAAATTCAGACATAATGAGGTGTCCTGTATTTCGTCTGGCAATCCTAACCTTAGAGATATCAACTCCAAAGTTGGCTCAGCTGGAGCAATGGCCTGAGAAGTTGGACAAGGTTGTTGATGAGTGAGTGGGGAAGAGAATCATGGGCCCAGAACTGGACTTGGCCTTCTCCCTAATCAACAGAGACTAATGTTCACAGGGCTTGGCCCCTGTGCATCGCTCCCCTGTGTCCATGCCATTGGGGTGGGGGGGTGCCATTCCGGATGACGATATATTGTGGCATTTGGAGTACAACAGAATTTTATTTTAGCGGTGACATTGGGCCAATTAAATAAACTACCAACATGGTCGGATGGGTGTGTGGGCGTATTCTTCAGAAGCAGCTGAAAGGGATCCCAGCGCTGAAGCCTCCCCTCTCTGGCAGGCTCACCAGGAAGGCCACTCCCTGTCTACATGCAACTGTGGGAGACCTTCATGCTTTTCAGGCCAGCTGAGTACAAGCCCAGGGACTCTGTGGACAGACTCCAGGGGAAAATACAAGAGAATTTCAACACATCTAACAGGGGTTGCATGGTCACATTTATTTTTTTAAAAAAAGGAATTTCTCTCTTATCACTGGAGATGGAGCAATGGGATGATAGCTAGGTTGTAAGGCTGGACTACAGCATCGTTTGCAGGTTTTGAGCTTTGGTACGGATTTTCGGGATACTATGTATGTTTTACAGTAGAGGCCAGTATCCAAATTCCATGACTCAAAAGCCATGCGCACAGATAGATAAATCTCTTGGATTTACAATGAAATATCTAGGAAGACCGAGCACAACTTTGAAGAAGGTCTAGGTATCTGCAGGCTGGGGGACTGTGCCCTGGTGAAGTCTGAGATCCCCACAACGCTGTGTCCAAATACCCTTCTCACTTCTCACCATGGCTTTGTTGGAGTATCCGCCACCCTGGAATTCCAGAATTCCATAGGAATCTGTTGGGTAGCTCTGGGTGTGCTTGCTGACAGCCCACTTCTCGGGCTGAGTCTCCACCTGTTTGTGCTCCTCTCCATTTTTGCTGGGTGTTGCGCCTGGCAGAGGGGGGATATGCTGGTTGATGAGCTGTCCACAGCAACACCTGGAAACAAAGGCAAAGCACGTCTCTCTGGAACGTTTCCTCCTTCCCCACCATCAGCACCAAGAGTACGCTCAACAGGTGAGTTGGGTTCAAACAGGGGCTTACTCACAAACACCTTAGCTACCCAATGTCAGTAGGGACAGAAATGCCCCTTAGGATGGCCTTTCTCAAGGCCAGTCTGTTTATGTCCAGTCTATTTACAATGCACTGGATAGTCGCCCTTCTATACCCAACACATCTGAACTCTTTTCAATGTCTTGGCAATATCACTATGACATCCATTACTGAACACCCTCTGACGAAGTAATCGTATACTCAGAATGTACTGCTGCCCTCCCAGGAGTGGTCAGGACTGTCGAACTCCTCCAAAACTCCTTTACCAAGCAGCATTAAAAGTGTATTTTAAATCTGCTCGAGCCGCTGGCCCACTGGGCCATACCCTAAGCAGCTTCAACGATCTTGTTTGCACGGTGCCTCCCCCGGAACCTGGCCAGCCTCTCCTGCTCTCATGGAGGTCTCTCTCTCTGGTTTTCCCTGCGCACGGTCCTTGGTCTCGTGCCAGCTCCCTCTCCTAGCAGGCCTAGGGTTTCATTTGTCACCCAGTCACTTTTGGCTGCCACACTTTTGAGGGGGTTGGGTCCAGCCAACACTTGAAACATCTGCTGGGAAGAACAGCAGTAGCCTGGAGCAATGTCTTGGTGCAGATGGGATCCAGGGCCCAGTGACATGGGAGAGCTGGGGGAGGGGGTGTCTGTTGCTGCCCCAGAGGACCTGCGTGGGTGGTCATGCACACCAGCAAGTTGCGGGGGGCGGAGCTGGAGAATGAGAGAGCTGCGGGCGGAATTGGCTTGGGGCTAAAGGGGATACTTGTACTCAGGCAAAGGTGAGTGAGTATGTGCGTGTGTGTGGCAGATGCGTGTGCAAGTGTGTAGGGGCCTTGCCAGGGGCTGGCTGTGCCTCCATTCTCTTTCCATTTCTGGCTACTTTTTGGTTTTCTTTCTCTCCCTCCCCCAACCCTTTCCTTGCTCCCTCTACCCATCTTTAAAAAAAATCTTTATAAAGACAAAGCTTTATTGAGGTATAATTCACATACCACAGAACTGACCCGTTTTCAGTGTACCATTTGATGGTTTTTAGCATTGACATGTACAATCATCACTATAATCGATTTTAGAACGCTTTTTGGGCTGACATTAACAGTAGTGGGTTAACCTGCTGCTTACAACTTCGAGTCCTTGCTGTTCTGTTTCCCATCCAGCCCCCTGCTAACGAGTCTGGGAGAGCAGCAGTGATAGTCCAGGTACCTGGGCCCCGACACCCCCCTCGGAGACCTGGATGAAGTTCCAGGCTTCAGGCTTCAGCCTGGCCCAGCCAGGAGAGTGAACCAGGGAACAGAAGACCCCCCCTACCACCACCTTTCAAAGTAATTTTAAAAACTCAAATTGGTAAAAAAAATTTTTTTAGAACACTTTCATCACCAGAAAAGAAATTTTACACACTTGGTCTCAGCCTCCTATCGCCCATCTACATGTGCATTAACCAGCCATCAGCGACCACAAATCCACTTCTGTCTCTTGGATCTCCCTGCTCTAGATATCTCACACGAAAGGAGTCCTTCACCGTGGTCTTTCGTGACCGGCTTCCTTCATTGGCTGCATTTTCAGGGTTCATCCATGCTGCAGCACACGTCAGTACGTCCTTCTCTCTTACAGCGGAATAACATCCCAGTATATAGATGGATAAACATCCATCCGTCATTTCACGCACATTTGGGTTGTTTGCACCTTTTGGCTACCATGAGCGTCGCTGTTATGAATATTTGTGGAGTGGAAGTTTGTATACAGACGTGTGTTTTCATCTCTCTTGGGTCTACACCTAGGAGTGGAACTGCTGTGTCATGTGGTTACTCTGCGTTTCATCAGCTGAGTAACCACAGGACGGGTTTCCAGGGTGACTGTGCTGGGGACACTCCCACCGCAGAGAAGGAGCTTCTGATTTCTCCAGGGCCTCTCGGACACTCGTCATTACCTCACATCTTGATTCTAATCACCCGCCTGGATGTGAAGTGGCAGTTTCGATTTACATGTCCTTGTGTTTGTTGACTATTTGTATAAATTCCTTGGATAAATGCCTATTTAAAAACCTTTGCCCATGTTAAAGCCTGAGTTATCTTTCTTTTCCTTTTGGAATAGTGAGAGTTCTTTGATGTTCTGGGTCCAAGCCCCTTATCAGATGCATGATTTGTAAATCTTTTCTCTCAGTTCTCTTTTTACTTTCTTAATGGTCCCTTGAAACACAAATATGTTTAATTTTGATAAAGTCCAAATCATTTTTTTTCTTTTGTTGCTCATGTTTTTGGTGTTATATCTCAGAATCATTTGATAAATCTCAGGTCATGAAAACTTATTCCTATGTTTTCATCTAAGAGTTTTATAGTTTTAACTCTTAAATGTAGGTGTTCAGTCCACTTCGAGTTAATTTTCACAGGTAGTGTAAAAATGGTCCAAACACACTTGTTCCAGCACCATTTGTTGAAAGCTGATTCTCTCCTCCCTGAACGGTGTTTCACCCTCCCCTCAAATCAATTTGTGATGTATATGTGGGTTTCTTTCTGGACTGTCAATTCTATTCCATTGGTCTGTGTACCTATCCTATGGCAGTATCATAGGGCTTTGGTTTCTGTAGCTTTATATTAAGTTTTAAAAATCAGGAAATAGAAGTCCTCTTACCTTTTTTTTTTTTTTTTAATTTTGCAGAGTTGTTTTGGCTGTTCTGGATTCCTTGTGAAATTTTAGAATCAGTTTGTCAATTTATGCAAAAAAGTCAGCTGGGATTCTGATAGGGACTGAGCTGAACCATTTTGAGAGTACCGCATATGAGCAATTTCTTCTAGAAACATAGGAACTTTCCCAATTATTGTCATTCCTTTCTTTCAACAGTGTTTGTAGTTTTCAGGGGGCATATTTTGCACTTATTTTAAGTTTATTCCTAAATATATTGTCCTTTTTCATATTATTGTATATAGCATCACTGCGCTAGTTTCATTTCATATGGTCTATTGTAAGTGTATGGAAATACACTTGATCTTTGTGTCTTGATCTCCTATGCCACAACCTTGCTGGACTCATCTATTAGTTCTAGTTTTTTTTCTTTATTGGTGGATTCTCTATATACAAGATTAGTCATCTGCAGAGACAGCTTTACTTTCATCCAATCTGGATGTTTGTCACCTTTTTTTCTTGCCTGATTGCCCCAGGCAGAACCTCCATCACAATGCTGAAAAGAAACAGGGAGAGCAGACATCTTTGTCTTACCCCTGATAGTAGGAGAAGCAGCCAATCTTTTGCCATTGAGAATAATGTTAGCTGTAGGCTTTTCATAGACCTTACTAGGTTGAGGGAGTTCTTTTCTATTCCTAGTGGTCTAAGTGGTTTTTATTATTATTATTATTATTATCACAAAGTGTATTGGGTTTCATCAAATGCTTTTTCTTTGTCTATTGAGATGACCAAGTGAATTTTGGTTTTATTCTATTGATACGATGCATTACATGAATTGTTTTTCTGATGTAAACTAACCTTGCACCCCTAGGATAAATCCCATTTGGTTATAGTGTATAATTCTTTTTCTATGTTGCTAGCGTTCAGAATTTCTACATCCTTATTTATAAAATATATTGATCTGTAATTCTCCTTTCTGGTAACACTCTAGTCTGGATTTGCTATCAATGTAATATTTTTTTTAATTTTTTATTTTTTGACAGGCAGAGTGGACAGTGAGAGAGAGAGACAGAGAGAAAGGTCTTCCTTTGCCGTTGGTTCACCCTCCAATGGCCGCCGCGCTGATCCGATGGCAGGAGCCAGGTACTTCTCCTGGTCTCCCATGGGGTGCAGGGCCCAAGCACTTGGGCCATCCTCCACTGCCCTCCCGGGCCACAGCAGAGAGCTGGCCTGGAAGAGGGGCAACAGGGACAGAATCCGGCACCCTGACCGGGACTAGAACCCCATGTGCCGGCGCCACTAGGCGGAGGATTAGCCTATTGAGCCGCGGCACTGGCCTTCAATGTAATATTGTTCCAATTTCAGTATCTGTGCGAGCACTATCAACGTAACGTTGCCCTCACAAAGCGTGGTGGGAAGCGCTCCTCGCTCAGCTCCTTTGGGAAGCGTCTGTAGATCACTGGTGTGAATTCTGCTTTGAATGTGTCTTAGAACTTGGCAGAGAAGCCACCAGGAGTGACAAATAGTTTTTTGATTACTAATACTATTTCTTAACTTCTTATAAATTTATTCAGGTTGTGTATGTTTTTAATATTTTATTTATTTGACAGGTAGAGTTACAGACAGTGAGAGGGAGAGACAGAGAGAAAGGTCCTCCATCCGCTGGTTCACTCCCCAAATGGCAACAACTGCCGGAGTTGCGCCAATCCAAAGCCAGGAGCCAGGAGCTTCCTCCAGGTCTCCCATGTGGGTGCAGGGGCCCAAGGACTTGGGCCATCTTCTACTGCTTTCTTAAGCCATCAACAGAGAGCTGGATAGGAAGAGGAGCAGCCGGGACTAGAACTGGCGCCCATATGGGATGCCGGTGCTGCAGCTGGAGGATTAAACTCCTGTGCCATAGCAACAGCTCCCAGATTGTGTATTTTTTAAAGACTTATTTTATGGGGCCTTGGCCATGGTTCACTTGGTTAATCCTCCGCCTGCAGCACCGGCATCCCATGTGGGCACTGGGTTCTAGTCCCGGTTGCTCCTCTTCCAGTCCAGCTCTCTGCTGTGGCCCGGGAGTGCAGTGGAGGATGGCCCAAGTGCTTGGGCCCTGCACCCACATGGGAGACCAGGAGGAAGCACCTGGCTCCTGGCTTCGGATCAGTGCAGCGTGCTGGCCATAGCGGCCATTTGGGGGGTGAACCAACAGAAGGAAGGTCTTTCTCTCTGTTTCTCTCTCTCTAACTCTGCCTCTCTAATAAATTTTTTAAGAAAGACTTATTTTATATATTTAAAAGGCAGAGTTACACAGAAAGGGGGAAAAGAAAAGAAAAGAAAAGAAAAGAAAAGAAAAGAAAAGAAAAGAAAAAGGAAAGAAAAGAAAAGAAAAGAAAAAGGAGAGGAGAGGAGAGGAGAGGAGAAGAGAAGAGAAGAGAAGAGAAAAGAGAAGAGAAGAGAAGAGAAGAGAAGAGAAGAGAAAAGAGAAAAGAAAAGAAAAGAAAAGAAAAGAAAAGAAAAGAAAAGAAAAGAAAAGAAAAGAAAAAGAAAGATATCATACATCTACTGTTTCACTCTCCAAATGGCTGCTATGGCTAGGGCTGGGCCAGGCCAAAGCCAGGAGCCTGGACCTCCATCCAGGTCTCCCAAGTGGGTGGCAGGGGACCAAGGACTTGAGTATCCTCTGTTACTTTGCAGGAGCATCAGCAGGGAGCGGAGACAGAAGTAGAGCAGCTGGGACTCCATCTGGCTGGCGCCCATATGGGACGCCGGTGTCACAGGCAGGCAGGGGCTTAACCTGCTTGCATCATGGCCTGGCCCCTTGCACTGTGTATTTGTTCTTGAATCCTTTTGTTAGTTTGTGTCTTTCTAGGAACTTTCCCATTCATCTAAGCTTGTTGGTGTACAAACTATAGTTTCTTGTATATTTTATACTATTTCTATAAGACTGGAAGTGATGCCCCCTTTTTCATTTCTGATTCTGGTCATTGAGTTTTCTCCCATTTTTCTTCATCAGATAAAGATTTGTTGCCTGGTTGATCTTTCCCCGGATCATCTTTCCCTTTCATTGACTTTCTCTGTTCTATTCTTTTTCATTTATTTCCGTTTCCATCATTAACTTCCTTCTAGCTGCTTTAGATGGAGTTTCTCCTCCTTCTTCCAGTGTCTTGGAATAGAGGGTTAGGTTAATTATTTAAGATATTTCTTTCTTTCTGATATGGCATTTTTCAAGTATAAATTTTCCTTTCAGGGGCTGGCCTTGTGGAATAGCCGGTACAGCCACTGCCTGCAGCGCCATCATCCCTCATAAGCACCAGTTCAACCCCTGGCTGCTCCACTTCTGATCCAGCTCCCTGCTAAGAGTCTGCACACATGAAGTCCACGAAGATGTTGGGTGAACGTATCAATAAATCAATCAGCCTCAAGGTTCTTTCCCCTCGGTGATGCCAACTTTCAGCCGGGTTTACTTCCAGTCGCTCACGTGACTTTAGAAGGCTCTCTGTTGTATTTTCATACAGGGGATTGAATAGCTGCAGTTTTGTGCACACGTCAAGCCCTTTAAGGAGGCTGTATCGGGTCACCTAGGCTGAGATCTTGCCTGTGGTGCAGAGTCTAAATTCATTATGAGAGTCTGTGGAGGAGGCCTGGCTGGTAGATATCCTGGAAATCCAACCACAGCTCTCAGCATCACCATCACACTCAGGCTAAGAGCTTGCCGTGGGTGCATCTGCTTATGAGGGTCACATCTGGGTGAGTGGCAGACAGAACCTCTTTTCCAGGGCTCCTGGCATCTTCCCAGAGGAGCCCAGTTAGTCCCGGTTAATGAGTCACAAGAGGAAGACTCTGGCCGCCCCCCCTTGGCTCTGCTCCTCCCATCCCCCACAAACACTAGAGGACCTGTTGCCAGGCAACGGGTACACAAGCACTGGTTTGGAGAATGTCTTCATTTTGAGGCTTCCAGCTTACCTGTTAGGGTCTTTTGTGCTGGGAATTACAAAGATACATTCCCGTTTGCAAAAGGTTTTCTCTATCCAAGCTTTCTGGCCCTGGAAGAGAAAGAAACAGAAATCAGGCTGATCTTTCCCAAGCTGCCACCCGAATTCATGATTTCGCTTGTAGAAAATGCGCATGATTTGGAGGTACGCATTTATGGTTCCCATTTGGTGACTCCTAATTCACCCTCTGGACAACAGGCACTGAGGGGGCGGGGCAGCTTGAGGAGGCCCCCAGGGCAGAGGTAGGCAGCAAGACAAGTCCCTGTGGAGGCCCCAGTCCTGGCTGGACGGCACGTGGCAGCCTGCCCCTGCAAGCTTCCTCCTAGGGGTCATCATGTTCTAGGTACCAGGAACACCCTCACCAAAGCAGGGGCCCCAGGCCCAGAAGGGGAAGTGACCGGCTGCATGAGAAGTGGCCTGTGGCTCTCGCCGCCCAGAATTGAGGGAGCCAGCAGGCAATGAGGGGACAGAGCCCTTCCAGAGCAGGCCAGGTCCTACGCTGGCACAGCTCATGGGAGGGGGGGAAGCCGAAGTCTGCCTTGCTGGGGAGTCTGTCCTGCCCTCCGTCTCCCCACGGTCTGGCTCACTGTGCACCTGCAGTGCTGGGCATGGGTGACGTGTGCAGTTATGTGATGAGTTTGGGTGTATTGGAGTATGTGTCATGCATGTATGGTGTGTGAGTATAAAGTATGTGGCGGGAGTGCATGTGAATGTATGTGTGTGGTGTATGTGTCCATGCTGCATGTGTTATGTTTGATGTGAGCATTTGCTATGTGTCATGGATGTATAGTGTGTGAGTAGAGAGTATGTAGTGAGAGTGTGTGTGCAGTATGTGTGTGTGGTATGTGTGTCTGTGTTACATGTGTATGTGTTGATGTGAGCAGGTGGTATGTTTCATGTATGTATGGTGTGTGAGTGTAAGGTGTGTGATGGGAGTGCATGTGAATGGGTGTGTGGGGTGTGTGTGTATGGTATGTATGTCTGTGGTACATGTGCCATGTGTTGATGTGAGCACGTGGTATGTGTCATGTATGTATGGTGTGTGTATAGTGGGAATATGTGTGAATAGGTGTGTGGGGTGTATATGTGAGGGTGTGTGTGTGTATGTCTGTGGTGCATGTGCCATATGTTGATGTGAGCATGTGGTATGTGTCATGTATGTGTAGTGTGTGAGTATAGGGTGCGTGGCGGGAGTGCGTGTGAATGGGTGTGTGTGCAGTGCGTGTGTGTGTGTCTGTGGTGCATGTTTCATGTGTCAGTGTGAGCACGTGGTGTGTGCCATGTATGTTGCATGGGCATGATGGATGATGTGTAGTGTATGTGCCTGTATGTGCCTGTGGCACTGAGTGCCTGTCTCTGGCAGGCACTGGGAAACCAGGCAACTTAGCCTGTGAAAAACAGATCTCAGAGAAGGGAGGGAGAGTCCTGGCCCCTTTCCCACAGTCTCCACGTGGGGCACCACGGCGTGACCTATGACCATGGTGTGACCGGGGTGCTCCCCCACCCACCCTGTGCAACTCCCTTGTCTCTGACGGTTTCCCCTCAGAGGGCTGCAGTGATGGCCCAGTGTCACCGGCGCTCTACTCAAGGAGAGCCTCAAGTCCCGGATAAGAGGAAGTACTTCCTGGGGAGGGCTCCCCTGATTGACAGCTAGGTGAACACAGCGACACAGAGCAAAGGAGCTGCAGCTTCCAGCTCGTGCACTTAAAATTACCTAAGATTTCCCACATCGCCCTGAGCTCTGGCCCCTGCCCCAGAGCCAGAGACAGGACACCGGGGACAGCAAGCCCAGCCTTTCTGGGCCATCCCAGAGCCGTTCATCACTTAGCTTCCTTTGTGAATAATGGGAGTGATTGCAATCCAAAGCCTTCCCCAGGGGCCCTCATAAAGCAACATCGCACACTATTCTCTCCAAACAGTTCGGGGCTGGCCGGCAGACTGCACGGCTGGCTGCCCAGAGCGTCGCGTTTGTGCTAATGAGAGGCGAGCAGGCAGCCGCGGCTCCCAGGAGAAGGCACAGAGCAGCCTCCGAAGCCGCCTGCCCCAGCCCTTCGGACCTGCAAGGCTGGAACAATCCGGTGCAAAACAGCAAGGCCGAGCGCTGCCTGTCTGGGGAGCAATGAGCCTTCCCCTTTGCCTTTCATGCCTCACTTCCCGGAGACGCTGGGCGAGCACACGCATGCCTCTTTTTAACCACAGGGGTCACGGTATTTGCACTGGATGCCAACTAAAGACAACAAGACTGAACTCCCCTGAGTAGCTTACTTTTTCACAGAAGACACGGAACAGCAATTCTGAGACTGCTTTCTCGGGATCCTGGGACTGAACAAATAAATCAAGGCACTAAGGAGAACTGGAGCTGCGTTTCTCGCTGTTGGAGCAGGGAGTGGGGAAGGGTAGAAGGAACCCGGTAGCACCGAAGTGAAAGTTACCAGTGTGAGCTCAGGGTCTGTAATGCACCGGGATGGATATAGCCACAGACGCGGCTGCAAGTGCGATCCCTCTCTAAACCAGCACACACGGACGCCAGGCACGCACCTGTAGTTAGAAATACTGCATTCGCTTTCTATCGCTTAGCCTAACAAACTGCCCCCCCAAACTTGGCGGCTTGCAACAGCTCCTATTTATTATCTCACAACTTCTGTGGATCAGAGATGTACGCGGCTTAGCTGGGTGCTTCTGAAGTGGGGGGTCTCTCACGAGGACTCCCGCACACCATGTGTGGGGGCTGGGGAGGATCCATCGCCAAATTCCCGTGCTGTCCTTAGGCCTCGTCCGTCCCTTGCCACATGAGCCTCTCCACACAGCAGCACCCACTTCAGAAGCTGAACTCCACTGGGGGAGCAAACGCTAGAGGACATGCAAGACAGAGCAGGGTCTCCACGCAGCCTGGCATCTGCATCACCTCGCCTTCTTTAACCCCTGGCAGTGAATCCCTCCTCCCCGCACTCCATGGGGGGAGGGCTACAGAAACCATGACAATCAGGAGTCAATCTGCCCACCACCCCACCCACACACCGGCAGGTCCGTGCACACACGCGGTCCCCACGGAAAGGGCCGAGCCCCAGTGCCACCTCACCGCAGTGAGCAAACCTAGTGCCCAGACACTGCTTTCTAAATGCCATTCTCCACTGAAAGCAGCCAGAGCTTCTAGCAGAAATGACTCAGTTCAGGGCTGGGGCAGGGAAGTTCAAGAAGAGCCCGGGACATTTTGTGCCAGCAAACTAGGAAGTATTTACTTTTAACACGGGAACACGCCAAAAGAACACAGAAGCCAGTGCGGAGGGCTCCTACTGGCTTGTCTGGGATTATCTGAGCACGCAAATGAATGGTTGCCATCAAGGATGAGAACTCTTACTTATTAAGGACCTGAGTCCACAGTGGCACAAATACAGGCATAAATAAATACACAGGCAGATGGAGAAGCACTTTCTTCCCGCGGAAAGTCCCCTGATCCATGTAGAAGGAACGATGGACTCAGAGGAATCCGAGAATCACCGTCTGGCTGTCATCAAAAATCTTGGATGAACGCGGAAAGTAGTGAGTGACAGGGCACTTCCGTCATCTCAAAACATCACCCACAGCCGTTTATGAGAATTCCTGACCTGACCGGACAGTGGGGAAATTCGGTGAGCGCCACCTAACACAAAGTGTGCACCCCTGGAATGGAACCCCCGTTCCCACCAGGCTCCTGATGAAAGACTCCGAGAACAAATGCTAACCCGAATCTGGCGGGGAGGAAGCATGGGGCAACCCGAACGGAGACGCAGCCTAGAAAACACCAGACCCGGCCCTTCCAGGACACCAAGCCCACCGAGGCAAGGAAAGGCTAGGAACTCCCAAGGAAGAGGCAAGACCCCGCACGGCTGCCTCCCTCCCTAGGCCCTGCCCTCCCCTCCAGGCCCCGCCCCCACTCCAAACTAGACCCGCCCACCCTTTCTAGGCTCCACCCCTATCCATCTCTGGGCCTGGCCTTCTCAGCTCCACCCCTTGCTTCCCCTCTTTACCCTGCCCTCTAGGCCCCATCTTTCCCCTCCCTAGACCCCGCCCATCGCTAGCTGGCTCCACCCTCTCTAGGCCCCGCCCCACTGTAGCTGGACCCTCCCCCTGGGCCCCGCCCGCCCCTCTAGGCTCCACCCCATCCGTCTCTGGGCCTGGCTTCTCAGCTCCACCCCTTGCTGTCTCTCCTTACCCCGCCCCTTCAGGCCCCGCCTCCTTTGTGCCTTCCGTCCCCTCCAGGAAGGACGAGGTGAAAGCTGGGCCAGTCCAGTGTGGGAAGTCAGAGAGCAGAGCGCAACCCCATGCTGCCCGGCTCGGGCCGCATTCTTAGGAGGGGAAGCGCCGCCCGTGCTACAGGACTTGGCCGGGCGGCGGCCGAAGCAGCTTGGGCTCACCTTTAGGACTGGTGTGTCCTGCCAGGGGCGCACCTGGACGCTCCGGTCGCGGGGCTGGCCCCCCGGCCCTCGTCGTGCCTGGAGAAGGAGGGCTTTCCAGGGCGCGTGCCAGCCTCTGCGCGGCGGCCTCATCAGCGTGAAAACACCGCAGGTGACCGCACACCTTCCCCAGGAGACACAGTGCTTAGCTTTGGAAGTGACCTTTAGGCTTTTAGAGCTAAGGTCGGACAGCAGTTCAGGGCTGCCCATCAGGAATGTTCTGGAGCCTAGGGGGATTAAACAGAGGGGTAATGGCCACTCTTCCTGCGGCCTGTTACGGAGGCCAGAGGCATGGATCATGCCCTCATTTCAGGAAGGCCCCGGACTGCTCATCTCACCCCAACCCCACACCTCCCCCCTCCCTCCTCCCCACAAAAGGCAGGGAGCAGCGGCAGCGTCCAGGGCTCGCTCTGTGTAATCTGGGCCCTCCGGAATTCCTGGCAGAGAGGCCCTGTTGGTGTTGTTTGGCGACTACACAAACGAACGTCGGCAATGCCTGGCTCGCCCCTCACCAGCACGGCGGGCGGCAGCCTCCCCTCTGCAGTCCACACACATCCGGAAGGGTGCGTGTCCAGACAGGAGCAAACCGAGGTGACCCAAGGGGCGTGCCCACTCCTGGCACTGCTCAGAGCAAAGGTGCCGGGTGGCGGCCCCGAGTCAGACACTCCTCCCACGCAGAGTGCTGCCAAGGTTGCAACAAAGACACACAATCTTTGAGCCGAACCGCCTGACTCCTCATAGATCCGTCATGGGTCCAGCGTGACAGTGACCACCCCAGGGGAGACCTTGTTACAGCAAAGCAAGAACCGAGAACAGGTGGTGGTGGGGTGTGGGGTCCCATGGCTCGGTCACAGAGCCTTCCGAGTCCCCACACTGCCTGGATACTACCCAACTTGTGTGAAATACGCATCCTCCAGCCATCAGAAATGGCTGCTTTGATGTCAAATCCACACTGCCGGCGCCCACTGGGAATTCTGGGTGCAGGGCCGGTGAGGTCCTCCTGGGGCCACCATGCTCATCTCTGAAATGGAAATGACCCCCTGTGGCTTTGCGCCTCCGCTGGGATCACATTTTGCATAGTACTTGGAAGGGACTGGGTTTAATCCTGGTTGCTCCTACACGACACCTCTGCCAAGGACCACCATCCCTGGGGGGAGGGGTCTCAGGGAGACCTTGGGAAGAAAATCACAGAGTGGCTGGCGCTGTGGCGCAGTGGGTTAACGCCCTGGCCTGAAGCGCCAGCACCCCATATGGGCACCGGTTCGAGTCCCGGCTGCTCCACTTCTGATCCAGTTCTCTGCTATGGCCTGGGAAAGCAGTAGAAGATGGCCCAAATCCTTGGGCCCCTGCACCCACGTGGGAGACCTGGAAGAAGCTCCTGGTTCCTGGCTTTGGATTGGCGCAGCTCCAGCCGTTGCGGACATCTGGGGAGTGAATCAGCGGATGGAAGACCTCCCTCTCTCTGTGTAACTCTGACTTTCAAATAAACAAACAATTTTTTTTAAAAAGTCATAGAGAGCACTGGAAACTACTGCACCACCTCGGTAACTATGATTTAAACGCTTATGTACTTATTTTAAAAACTTGAAAAGCAGAGTGAGCAGAGAGAGAGAGAGAGAGAGAGAATCTTCCTTGTACCTGCTCAGTCCCAAAATGCCTGCAACAGCCAGGGCTGGCCCAGGCCAAAGCCAGGAGCCAGGAGCTCCATCCAGGTCCCCCGTGTGGTGGCAGGGGCCCAAGTAGTTGGGCCATCAGCCGTTGCCTTCCCAGGTTGCACTAGCAGGGAGCTGGATTGGAAATGAAGTAGCTGGGACTACTTGGGGTCACCCCAAGAAGGCCAGGGAGGGCACAGTGACAAGGACGGGGTGCTGGGTAGGCTGCAGAGCCCGCGTGTGGCAGTGGGAGACGCCGAGGGAAGTGGTTCTGAACTCAGGAGCTGGCTCACCGCTGGGCGGGCGAGTCTGTTTACTAACTGACCATGTGTCTTGGGCCAAAATTAACAGCAAAGCCCGCAGTGAAATGAGGGAGGTGTGGCCCAGTTTAGCCAGGAGAAACCGCTCGTTTCAAGTGTATATTTAGAGCACATGACTCAAGCTCTCAGCCCACGGCTGCGTGTGGCCCACACGCGGGCTCGGCCTGACCCTCATAAAGTACAATTCACTGCCGATATTTAACCAAGAGCGAGATTACTACTCTCGGCTTTGCTTGAACTCCCTCTTGACGTGGAGCCGCCGGCTGGCACCCCTGCAAAACTGCACTTGGCTCTGGGTCCCTCACCTGCACCCATGGCCCCACGGGACCCGCCCTTGCCTGTCTCTGGGTCACCTGTGGGGCCCGCCTGGGGAGGCACCTGTGTTCTTGGAAATGCTCCATTGCAGAGGATCAGGTGAGTTCCCCCAACCAGAGCCCGGCACAGAGCCCCCATCTTTCATGTGCGCAAAGGATTCAAACCCACACTCCCCCGGCCCGCCCCCAGGAGGCCCTGGCCTGGGCACAACAGGTCATTTCCGGGTGACTTAGCTGAGCCTGCCTGCCCTGGCTGCTCTGGGTCCCTCTCAGGTCACGCACAGCCTCTGTCCCTATGACAGAGCGCACAGTGGGAGCACCCGACTGCCGCCAGCTCTGGGCCAGCCCCTCACACTGCTGAGCCCCTCCTGCAAACTGAGGGTGACAGCGCCCCTCACCCTCGGATCTGCAGGCTGTGGGCGAGTGTGAGACCCGCGTGACAGAGCTCCTGGGAGAACTTGGGGGACTTCAGTCCTGTGCCTCGCGTGGCAGGGCATGTCAGGGCGTGTCAGAAAGGTGTCACAGCCGAGCCTTCCCCTGGGCAAGGGGGTCCCTCTTTCACAGGCGTCCAGCCCCCTCCCGCCCGGGACCCCTGCCCCGGGCACTGGGAGACAGTCCTCCAGTCTGGAGTCCCACAGACAGAGCTAGACCTTTACAACGAAGGAAGTGACACTTTTCTATTTACTATATATTTTTTTTAAATTGAGATATAACCCACAAACCGTAAAATTTGCCTTTCAAAGTGTGTGGCTCAGTGGTTTTTATGACGTTGCTAAGCTGGTATAAACCTCACTTCTGAGTCCAGAATGTTTTTATCACCTCTGACGGTAGTCCCGCCCCATCCCTCTCCCACCCGTCTGCTTCCTGTCTCCTAGGCGGCTCACAGGGAAGGGGTGGCCTTTGGTGACTGGCTCCTTTCACCAGGTGTGATGTTTCTGGAATTCATCCCTGTTGAGCGCGGCACTATCTCATTCTCTGCCATGCTCAGGGACATTCCATTACGGGAACTCGTCCATCGATGGGTATTTGGGTTGTTTTCACTTTGGGGCTTTTGTGAACCGTGTTGTGACTGCTTTTTAAAGAGAATGCCCAACAAGGCTAGGAAGAAAGGAAGAGAATTTGTTAGCTATGGAATTTTGTGGTTGTGGTGGGGGATGCAGGTTTTGTCCATGTTGTATTTTTTTTCTAGAGAAAAACAAAGCTTTTTTAAGAGAAAAAAAAAAAAAAAGAGTACGCCCAGGGTCACCCAGCCAAGGTGAGGATGCGTCTGGGTCCCGCGTCTCCAGCCCTGGCCGGCTCCAAGGGCCAGCCTCGCGTCACACTCAGGCTATTTTTGCAGTGTCACTAATCTTTTTATTTCCAGTGCCACTGCCGGTTGCCCTTCCGCCTTCTCGGGTTCATGCATATTTAAGCTGCAATTGCAAATAATGGGATCATGATCCACGTCTCCAGTGCCAACAGTAGTTTAACGCAGAGCAACGAAAAGACCAGAAAAAGCAAGTCTACCGGAATTCAGGGAATCTTGTCAGAATTGCCTGGGTTTTACAGTGAAAACATGAGCACACATTTGTTTTGGGAGTTGCCATTGGATGCATCTCCAATCCTGTGAGATAATGTCTTACACCAAGGTGGCCCTGGCGGGATGCCAGGAGCACCTGTCATACTTGCAGCCTGCCAGGCTGACCTCCCCTGTAATGGGGCTGCTGACTTCTGGGTAGAATGCAAGGTGTTTTTAGTAGCTCTGGCCAAATGCATATACAAGGTTCTCTCTGTCTCCACGGGTATTTGTTCCAGGACCCCTGCGGATACCCAAATGCACAGATGCTCAAGTACCTTACATAACATAGCATAGTACTGCTTAGAACCTGTCCACATCCTCCCATATACTGTAAATCATCCCTCGATGACTTAGGATACCCTTGGAAGTTCAATGCTATGTAAATAGTTGTGACACTGTATTGTTGAGGGAGTAATGACAAGGCAGGAAGGTCTATCCATGTTCAGTACAAATGCAATGATCCCAGGCCTAACTTCAGAGCACAGGAAGGGGACACAAGGTGACCAATGCTCCCCCAAGTGCAGGGGGAGCGCCCAAACCCCAGGACGTTGGGGGAAGCTGTGGGGTCTGCCCTCACCACGCTCCATTCCCTGGGATTCTGTGCAGTGTTCAAGTTTTGCTTTTGGGGACTTCATTGAAATTTGGCCTGTGGTTGGTTGAACCCACAGACCTGAAACCTGTGAATTCGGAGAACTGATTGTAGTCAATTAGGAGGAAAAAAAAATAAAACAAGAGTGCCACGAGCCCAACAATTAATCATACAGACCAGCCACACAGACAACAGTTGGCTTCCAGCTGCCAAGCCTTGGATATTTGCCCCTCACTTGATACCAAAGATGGGAAACCCACCCACCCCTGTACACACACACACACACACACACACACTGCCCATGTCCCACAGAGGCAGAGGGCTTGCGACCTCCTGGAATGAAGATCTTGTGGACAACACACAAGGCCACTTCTCTCTGACCCTTCGCAGGAGGAGACAAAACAAAAATGGGCCAGGTGCTGGAACAGGCAATGTTCTGGTCACCAGTGACGCACAAGGAACCCATGTGTGGTTCTGACTCCCGCTGAGGATGCTGTGCTGGCCCTAAAGAAAAGGGGGGCACTGTCACGGTGTGCCTGGGGGGCCTGGAGGGTGGTGGGGTACAAGGAGGAAGAGAGAGGGGAAGGCAGTGGAGGTCAACTTCTAGCCCCGGCGCTGACAGAGCCACCTGAGCAGAGAGCGCCTGCAAACAGGGGCCTGTGAGGGTGTCAGACCTCTCTGCTCCCCACTTCTAGGACAGCGCCAGGCAGGTGTTTCTGACACAGCTGTACCCTGCAGATGTGGGTACCCTGCTTCCCCCTCACAGGGTGGGGCCCTGAGGCCACCCCTGTTTTGGGGGATGCTGCTTTGGAGGGCAGC